TTGTGCACACTCCTGATATACCAGCAGTTGGTGTGAGATGGCCAGGAAAACTTTCCCAGACACCTCGAAAGCTGGAAGTGTGCCCATCTAATGGGGTAGGTGCCACTTTAGCTAGATGGGAATTAGGGGAGATTTGCTTCTACTTGGAGGCTGGTACAGGGTCTTATGCTCTGGGTCCTCAAGGTGAAAGTATGGCCACAGTAGCCAGGGTTGGCAGTAGAGTTGTATTCCAGAGTTCTAGGGATTCTTTCAGGGGATGGAGGATTCTGGTTCTTCCATTGACACATTGTCTTTTTCCTGATACAGCAGAAAAGTCAATGGTTTGTATTCAAATCTCACCTCTACAACTTATTATCTATGTGACCTGGGACGATTCATTCATCCTGGGCCTTGGTTTCCTCCTCCGTAAAATGAGAAGCTCAGACTAGAACTTCCTAAGTCTCAATCTACGATCCTGTCATGTTACATCTCTAGGTCTCAATGTCCCCACATATAAAATGAGGATCATGGTACCTAATATTATCTACTTCACAGGGTTGTTAGGAAGCTAAAATGAGATAAGGTATGCAACGCATTTTGCAAACTTTAAAGTTATATCTGTCTATCTATCTGTCATCTATCTATGTATCTATGTAGCCATTCATCTATTTGCACATATATGTATATATATAGCTCTTTCAGCTATTTATCATCATCATCATCAATCATCCTGACTCTTGAAATGGTTTCAAGTCCCAGAAAAAGGCGGATATTTGCCAACCTACTGCCTGTAATTCTGGACCAAGGTTTCCTCCCTTCCCTCCCAGTCATGACTATTCTCTGGACTCTACTCTACAAGTATCATCTAACTAAAGTATAGAGGGAAATTATTCAGTTTCACTGGAATTAGAGTAATTGCCCCAAAGTGACCAATCCACTCATCTCAGGTCCTTTGGTCCTTTGCTCAAATACTCTCTAATCCAGCTCTTTCTATAAAGAATTCAATCAATGCTATGGCCAGAACTTTTCCAAATCATGGCTTTATTTTGTCCTCGTAACTCTTGCCCCAGTTCTGCCCTGGATGATCTGTTAAGAGAATAGCTGTCAGATCTCGACTAATTTCCTTCTTAGAAGCTTGCCAAGTAAGAAAAGTGATCTGTCCACAACAGCAAGTTTACTTAGTCTTCAGAGTCTTCAATTAGTTTTAAATGTATGGGCTAGAAAAATGACTTAATTTCCTGGGTCCTCAACAGAAGTTTGAAATCGACCAATTTCTCAGTCATGGGTACTTCTGTCTTATTGTTCCAAAGCAGGATGTTTGAGGTGCAAGAGTTCACTGTTTTCTGGCTGTCTGAAATAGCTGGTTTTGTGCCCAAGATAGGGGTTTGTGATAATACTTGCGGTGGATTTCAAATAATTCAACCTTCATCACCTCTTCCTTGCACTGCTATGACAGTCCCCTAATTAGTCTCGCTGCTTCAAATCTCTTCCCCTCGTCATCCATTCTCCACCCAGCCACCAAAGTGATCTTCCTAAGGCGTAGTTCTGACCATGTCAATCCCCTGCTCAAGAAGATTCAATGGTTCTCTACTGCTTCTAGAATAAAATGCTAAGTACTCTGCTTAGCATTTAAAGGTCTTCACAATCTGGCTTCAAGGTACCTTTCTGGGCTTTTACATGTTCTTATTCTTCATGCACCTTTCATTCCATCCAAACTGGCCTACCTGCTTTTCCTTATAGATGCTATTCTATTTCCCAGTTCTCTGCTTTTGTACCAGCTGTGTCCCCTTTACTTGAAATGCTCTCCTTTTCCACTTTTGCCTATGAGAACTTTTAGCTCCCTTCAAGGCTTAGTCCAAGGGTTACTTCCTACAAGAAGACTTTCCTGATTCCTGTAAATTATTGGCAAGTGCTCTGTCTCCCTCCTGCCCTCCATGTGCTTTGTACTTATTCATTTGTGCGCATGTTATTTCCTTCTAGTGGAATGGAAGCTTCCCGAGGGAATAAAATGCTTTGTTTTCATCTGTGTCTCCCCAGTGCCTAACACAGAGCCTGTAAGGAAATGCTGATTGAGTGAAGTAAATGTCACAGTAGGCTTTACAGGAGTTGTATCTCAAGAAGGGCTGAAGGGTTTAGTGTACCTCCTGCTCCCATATACGAATATACATATATGTACACACATACACATGAGTATATACGTATATGTATACACACATATATAATGAGAACATGTGTGTATGTGTGTATTATGTAATTTTAGTGCATCAGCACATTTTGAAGAGGGCATGACATTGTCTTCTGTGATATTTACCTCCTCCCATAAAGATGATCTGATCTCTGCTTACACAAGAAGAAAAGTCCCAGTAGAGATCATTCATGTTGTACCTAACATATATGTAGCACTCTCTCTATACACACATATATTGATATATATACATAATACACATATTTCACTAATTATAACAAACCTCTTTCTGTCACTCTTTGCTTCTATGGCAAAAACATTTATGGCACGTGTGTGCATGTATGGTGCAGTGGAATCAATACTAGATTTGGTTCCAGAGGATCTGTGTTCAGATCCTGCCTTGGATCTTTTACTCCCAGCATAATCTTGTGTAAGTCACCTCAACTTTCTCATTCTTGGTTTCCTTGTGTGTAAAATGAGGGGCTGGATTGATGGCCTCTAGGGTCCCACCCAAAAACACTTTAAAGGCAGTAATGAATTTATAGCACTGCATATATGAGCTCATGTATACAAAGGAGGGGGGACTAACTTAGGAAAATATTTACAACCCTGGGCTTTTTCAGGAACAAATTAAAAAAAAGATTTTAAATGGAAACTTTTGAGGTGTAAGCAGAGATTTCATGGGAAAACATTTTTTAAACATAAAAAACCATAATGTTCTTTATAAAGTTCTTTCCATATAATATTTCCTTTGAGCTTCAAAACAAGCCTGTGAACTAAGTGTTAGACATATCATTAAACTCATTTTTCAGATGGGGAAAATGAGACTGAAAAAAGGTTAAGTAATTTGCCTAGATAGTAACTATCTGAAGTAAGAGTCATACCAATGTCTTCCTAAAAACAAGTCCAGCACTCTAACTGCTACTCTATCCAGCCACCTCCTTCTTGCTACTTAAGAAATTAGTTTGCTGGATTGTCTGATAAATCATAAATGCATTCATGACTCATTTCCATTCTGAAGTCCTGTAGGCAACCTCAGAAACCATTTAGTTCCCATATATAATCATTCATTGCATCAATCTACTAAGGACTGACCAGGATTGATTATAAATTCAACACCACAAATATTTCCACAATGCATATTCTAGGTGACAGTCGATATACAGAGAAATGGATATGGTAATATAGATGGCAAAGCGTGAGTGAAATCCTCTTGATCCTCACATAAACTAATTTTCGGTTAATCTCTCCAATTCCTTTCTTGGAACCGTCAGGGTATATTAGAAGAGATTAAATTTACATTCCAAAGAGATTATGCTTGAATTCATTTTAACCTGCTAAATAATGCAATGGATCCTTTTCAATCCAAAGTTGAAGACAAGCATATACTATGGATATCCTATTATTCCTACAGTTCTAAACTCTTAAATTGATTCAAATTCTAGATACATCTAAGGAATCATAGAATCCAAGAACCCCAGTGTTGGAAGGGACCTTCAAAACCACCTAGGTCAACCCATTCTTGAATAAGAACCCTTCTATAACTCATCTGACAAATGGCTCTATGGCCTTTGCTTGGAGACTTCTAGTGAGGAAGAACTACTCTTTCTCTGGGCACCCATTCCACGTCTGGAGGGCTCTAACCAACAAGTATTTCCTTATATCACACTCAACTCTACCCATCTGCAATGTCTATCCACTACTCCTAGTTTTGTCCCCTGGGGTCAGACAGAACATGACAGCCCTTCAAGATACTGGAAGGCAGCCCAGCCATTGTCCCTGCCCCCACCCACAAGTCTTCAGATTCTTATTTTAAGACTTGCTGCCTGGTTTTATTTGGACCTCAATAATTTCCTTTAAGTCTCTGACATCTGAGCCTGTGCATATTTTTGTGTTAATAAAAGTAAAAGTTGCATAGAAAAATATATTCTCCTTCTCTGGACTTGTTTTTTTTTTATCCATTGCAAATAGGGGAAAAGAACTTTGATCAAAAACATATTTTAAAAAATCTTATTTCTGCAAGAAACTTAATTTATTCTGATTCCTAGCTTTTATATGAGAGCTAGGATCCATCATCTTCCCTGAATATGTGAAAAGTATTAATCTCCATTACATGAAAATAGATATTCTTTTTTCTGCTACAGAACTCATAAAATAATTCTCTCAGTGGCCTGGAATACCTACATTTTTCTGAGAAGGGCAAATGAGCTTGTTAAGCATTCTTTCCTCATTAAAAAGTGCCTACTTTTTTACTTTGACACATTGGCACTTGGATAGCCTATGTGTGAGCTCTTTGATAGTGGCACTCTTTCCATAGAGGCAAAGCACAATCCATCCGTGCCTGCCTATCCTGTGAGGCAATTGTCCACTTTCCCTTAAGTCCACATTGGGGGACCTGTCCAAGGTGCTGAGAAGTGTCTGTCTCTTGTTCTCTTAAAATTGTATGGGTTATAACAGAACACATGGCTCTCTGTTGGCTATCCCTTGCTCTCATCACATGACTAACCCATCTTCTCTTCCCCTGTCCTTCTTACATGACACCCTTTATGTCACTTCTCTTTTCAAAATTCTTGGTTGCTAATGTGAGGACAGTTTGCTCAACAGATGCCCTCACCATCACAGACCTCTCCTTTGTCCTTTGGGTGACCCTCAATTTTAATTCTTAAGAGGTTGTGATAATCCATGACGTATAACAGCACGTGGTATTACCTGAATGACATCAGTGTTAAAAAAGATAGGCCTTTGTTTCAAGGGAAAACATGGGGATCATTAAAAGCACTGTACAATTCTCTAATTCTCCCTGCTCTCCTATTTCTGTTCAGTTCTAAGCCTTGAATACTACTTATGTGCAGTGTGAGTCCAAAATATCTGCACTGAAGGAGTTCTCCATCTAACTGCATTTCATCATCTGGACAGCAGGTATTCTTTATCCACTTAGTTTTTCCTGTGTGGATAGTGAGATTCTTTTGAGTGGTAATTAATTCATTTAGGAGGCTTTGCAGTGTTCTGGGGCTTGATGAAATTAATACAATGTCATTTGCAAAAAGGAGCATTTCTGGATAATTTACTTAAAGAAGATTTAATTGGAAGTGGAAATGCATTTTTGGCTTTTTACTTGGAATTGTGATTGTTTCATTGCAATAATTTTTACTAACTGCAAAATTGTCAGTAGATGAAGAGCAGCCAACAGATTTGTATAAAGTAAACCAGGATTCTTGAGTTATAATCCTAGTTAGGTGTCTGGTTATATTTTGAGCTATCATTACTGTTCCCATCATGCATGTTCCTTCTATTGACTTTCAGTCTGAATTGTATGGCCATTTCCTCCCCATTCAAATCATTATACTATATTAGCATTTTCTTTCCTCCATACTGAGCAATGAAATTGGATATTTTAGAACTTCAGGATGTTTTCTAAATAATCTATTACTTTCTAGGTGACATTTACGAGGGAGGACAAGGAAGCATCTGTAATGGCAAGGAGAACAGAAGACAGTTCCACCTGTGAATCTAAACAGGTAGGAAACACATGAATAACTGGGCTTTTCTATGGAGCAAACATTTTTTGAGTAAATTAATTAATTATTATGTCCCTACTATGTGCCAGGTACTTAATAAAGTGTTGGGGATATAAAGCCACTATCAGCCATATTGGTGTCATCCAATACAATTCAACAAGATTTATTCTGTTGTTCAGTTGTTTCAGTTGCGTCCAACTCCTTGTGACCTCGTTTGAGGTCGTCTTGGCAAAGACACTGGGGTGGTTTGCCATTTCCTTCTCCAGTTCATTTTACAGATGAGGAAATTGAGGCAAACAGGATTAAGTGACTTGACCAGGGACATACAGCTAATAACTGTCAGAGTCCATATTTGAACTTAAATCTTCCTGACTCCAGGCCCAGTGCTCTATCCACTATGACACTTTGCCTCATAAAGATTTATTAAGTTCCTACTATGTGCAAAACACTGAACTAATTGTGAGGAAACTGAATTACAATACTTGCTCACTTTAAGCTACATAGGTTATTTCATTTGATTCCCACAACAACCCTCTATGGGGCAGGGGTTGTTATTTTCCCCATTTTACAGACGTGAAAACTGAGATTGAGAAAAACTAAGTGACTAGGCCAGTGTTACACAGCTAAGAAGTGTTCAAGGAGCAACTGGAACTTAGGTTTTCCTGACTCCCAGGCCAGTGATCTTTCCACTATACCACTTATCTCCCTAGGCAAAATAAGCTAGCTCCTTGCCCTAAGGTGCTTACATTCCACTAGGAGGCACAGTACATAAACAGAGTAACATATTATATGCAGTATATAATAATATATTATATTAATGGTATTATAATTATATAATATAATACTTATGTGATTGTAATTATATATTATGATACGATATAATAATAATATAATATATAATATATAAACAGAACAATGGTAATTTGAGGAGGGAGGAACCACTAATTGCTAGGGAGAAAGGGTGAAGAAGGCCTTCCCCTAAGAGATGATCTATGAGCTGAGCCTTGAAGGAAGCCAAGGATTCTAAGGCGGAGGTAAGAGAAAAAAGAGAGGGGAAAAAGGATAAAATAACCTCGGACTGAGACTTAGGGAACACTCAGGTTGATCCTGAGTCACAATATGCAACATGCTCATGTATCCCCACAGCTTCTTTTAATGACAAATTAATAATAGTAGTAGCTAACATTTCTATAGTGCTTTAAGGTTTAGATCACTTTTCACATTGGATACTCAAGGCAATACTCTGATCAATGATTGCCATTTTATGAATGAGGAAACTGAGATTGGCAAAGTGGCTTGTCCAGGGTCACACAGCTAGTAGACATCTGAGACAGGATTTGAACTCAGGTCATCATGACTTCAAGTCCAGTGCTAGCTGCCTCAAAGTTACTTATTAAACAACAACAACAAACCTTATTTAAAAACAATTATTTGGGGCAGCTAGGTAGCACAATAGATAGAGCATTGACCCTGGAATCAGGAGGACCTGAGTTCAAATCTGGCCTCAGACACTTACTAGCTGTGTGATCCTGAGCAAGTCACTTAACCCCAAATGTCTCAACAGTCCCCTTCAAAAAACAAACCAACCAACCACAATCACTTATTCAAGCACAAAGCACCCACAAAGGTGAGGAACAGAAATTTGAAGGGTGTCAACTCCTTTGTCGAAGTGCTAAAGTCCAGGACAGAAAGGCATCATTCACTGAAAATGGAAACATTGGAGCTGCTGTTGGTTTGATGAGTTATATAACAGTACTTCTTGAAGTCCCTTCCAGACATACTAAATCTATCATGGGAAGGCAGGGGGGATGGAGACTGAGTTTAATTAAAGAAGTTTTAAGGAAGAAGCTGGCAAATATGCTGAACTGTGCTGCTAAAGTCACCACAAATAACCTTTGAAATGAGAGTGATGATGAAATTCACTTGATTTTCAAATACACATCGTTAAGTACCTATCAAATAGCTAAGTGGTTCAGTGGATACAGCAGCACTTATTAGCTATGGGACCCCGGGCAAGTAACATTCACTCAGTGTCTCAGTTTTCTCATCTGCAAAATGAGGGGAATAATAGCACCTACCTCTCAAGGGTGTGAGGATCAAATAAGTTAACATGCAAAGCACTTTGTAAATCTTAAGGAGCTATATAAATACTAGCTGCTGCTGCTATTACTGCCACCACCACTACCACCACCACCACCACCACCACCACTCCTACCAGTACTATTACTACTACTACTACTACTACTACTACTACTACTACCACTGCCGCCACCACTACCACCACCACCACAACTACTACTACCACTACTACTACTACCGCTACTACTATTACTTCCACCACCACCACTATTACTATGTACACATCAATGTGCCAGGAAGTGAAGATATAAATACAAATAAAATAGTATTTGCCCTTAAGGAGATTACATTCTAATGAGGGAAACCACATGCACAATGCAAAATAATTACATACAAAATAAATACAAGGTAAAGAGGGAGGAGCATTCTAGTACTTTGGTCAGAGATTACAAAAGCCTCCTTAAAAGAGCATTTTGGCTGAGCTTCAAAGAGAAGGAGGAATTCTAAGAGACAGAGGTAACAGGGGAGCACCTTGTAAGTATGCAAAGGCATGAGATGGAAGGAGCAACAAGACAGTTTGGCTGGATTGAAGAGCATGAAGAGGGGAATAAAGAATAATAAGGATGGAAACATTGGTTGGAGACAGGTTGAGTTTAGCTTTTAAAGCCCAACAAAGGAGTTTGCATTTGATCATAAAATGCAAGAAATTTGTTTCATGTTTTCAGTGGGAGGAAGTCAATAGGTTTTCTGCCAGAGGAAAGAGAGGAGGCATTTTCTGCATTGGGAAGAAACAATTTTCTGAATAAGGGAAAATGTTGGTAGCAAGAGGAGGATGTTTATAGAGTCGACCTCCTCTTTGAAGTTTCTAAAGATGGAATATGGCTTCACCTGGTCTGTGTAACAACCAATATTACAATTCTATGTTCTTAGAAACAACAGTAAATTTTTCTGACCCAATATGTCCCTGACCCCTCCTTTACCTTTGGAATCATTCATACCCTGATCACTCCATCTGGCTTTCAAGGGTTTTGTCAACATAATTTAAACCCCAGTTTTCTGTCTTCTTAAAAACAAAACAAAGCCAGTATTATCAGCTTATAAATTTGGAACTGGAAGGGACCTTAGAGGTCAACTAGATCAACCTTTAAATTTTACGTATGAGAAAACAGAGATCCAGAGAATTTAAATGATTTCATAAGAATAAATTTAGAGCTGGAAGGAACCTTAGAGGCCAACAGGTTCAACAGCCTCATTTTTTACAGATGAAGAAACTGAGTCACAGAGATGCTAAGTGGCTTGTCCAGGGTCACAAAACTAGTGAGTATCTGAGATCTGAATTGAACCCAAATCTTCCTGATTTCAAGCCCAGAATTCTATCCCCTATGGAGGAAGGGAAGAGAATAAGATTTTATATAGAACTTACTATGTGCCAGGTACTGTGCTGTGCTTTTTTTTTTTTATGAGTATTATTTAATTTGATTCTCACACTAATTCTAAAAGGTAGGTGCTACTATTATCCCAATTTCACAGTTAAGGAAACTCAGGTAAGCAGAGGTTAAGTAATTTTCCCAGGGCCACACAGTTAGTAAGTAACAGAGGTCAGATTTGATCTTAGGGTCTTCTTGACTCCAGGCTGGATACGTTATTATGCCACCAGCATTATGGCACAATATACATAGGAATGTATACACACACATATGAACATATTTGTATGTGTTCAAGGATAAATTGGAGAGAAGCAGGGGTCCCTAAAGGACATCTTTACTCAAATGCCCCTCTGGACCTTCAGACTTATCCTTTGAAGCTTCCAACTCATCATCTATGCTGCTGGTGTAGATGACCACAAAGCACCACTGACTTCTTAAACTGAGTTTCAGCCTTCCTTGCTGCTAGGCAGATTCCTGATGTGAGCTGAGCATTAAAATAAGTTTTCCACTGACACAAAGAATCTTTCAATCAATCAAGCAAGCAAGCAACACTCGTTAAGGAGACCTGTACAAATAAAGGTCTGTGTAAGATGCACATAAAGCAGATGAATCCTGGAGGGAAAGGCACTAACAGCTGGTGGGAGGGGGGGCTGGGATTGACTACGAAGCTTTCTTGAAGAAGTTAGAGTTTGGCTGAGTCTTGAAAAGAGCCAAGGATTCTAAGAGATTGTGGTAAGGAGAGAAAATCTCAGACATGGGGTTAGTCCGGTGCAAAGGTATGGAGATAGGAGATAGAGAATTATGTGTGAGCAGCAAGTAGGTCAATGTAGCTAATTGATCATTTTTTAAGTTTCTCCTATTTCTCTATGACTTGCCTTTCTAGGTAGACTGTCAACTTCTCAAGGAACACGATCATGCCATTTGCTTTTTGTAACTACCGTCATTGTCTAGTACAGTGCTGGGCATCCTGTAGGTACATAATAAATGCCTGCTGATTTGACCCAATTTTGGGGAATGCCAAGTTGGTTGGCAGCTACTTTTCTGAGCACCATCTCATTTCCCTTCATCTTAGAGGAAGAGGAGGATAGGTCCTTCATCTACCTGGCTAGGGTACTCTGTCTCCATGATGGACCTCAGAAGGTATGATGTTTGCTATTGTCACTTTATGGATTTGAGGGTTGAGAGCTTCATCACCTAAAAAGGCTAAAGGTCTAGAATACAGATTGTGAAGATGAGTAATAGGAAATTTCCTGGAAAGGCAGGCTGTGCTCAGACTAAGAAGGGCATTTAGGAACTTTGTATTGCATCCTCAAGGTCCTAGGAAGCTACTGGTGCTTCATGGTCAGACTATTTTGACAGCTGTGGCTATACAAAGGTTGGAATTAAGAGGGGAAACTAGAAGCAGAAGGACTATTTAGGAGACTATTGCAATAATCCAGGTGAGAAGTGATGACAGTCTTATTAAGGAGACTGCTAGTAGAGAGGAGATTGCTG